CGTCTGCGTTCTCACCATCGGATTCAGAATCTTCATTATAGTCATCAGCAAAATCCTGATCCAGAATCAACAAAGTTTATATAAACACAGGAAAAAACAGAAAGAAAAATGGTGGAATGTAATAGCCTAATATGCATATTACTCAAAAGAATCTCACATATGGGGCAAGAACGCTGCTGTCAAGAATCAACAGGGGAACTTGTACATCTCGAGCAAGTGCTCGTACCAACCTCTCCCGGTAAAGTTCAGTACCTGAATAAACATTTAAAAAATTCTTGGTCATCTAACAGTTCCTCGATACTTATATTTTGATAACAGAAGCGCAACAACAAATACTGGTCTGCATTTTTACTATAGTCAAAAAGCAAACCTGGAACACTCTGGAGCAACATTCTTCCACTTGAAGACTCTAAACGGGAACCATATATGGAAGTGGCATTCTTCTGTTTAATATGGGAGGTAACACATTCCACCAAAATATTTTTAGTGTGGTCGCTGTGAAAGGAGCATAAGCAGAATCCATAAGTGGAAATGAAGAAAGAAACACAATAACAAAGAAAAATATATGTTGTCGATTATTACTGGATATAGTAGGGGAAGGTCTCCCACGAAAGCTGTATTTTATCCCAAGGTTGGACTCTCCGTAAGAATTCATTTTTGAATCTTTCTCTTCTGTTAAGCAAAGGTGACTCTTTCTTTTTGCATTCACTGGCAAGCTTCTCATTATTGAGCCATTCTATTTGGTCCTGTTCTCCAAGTTGAGCATGATAATCTAAATGCCCAGCACCGCCATTACTTTTCTCCTTCCCGGTTTTTCCATCATCTACGCCATTCCCTTTGTTCAAAGAGATATGCTTATCGTCACTAGCATTCCTGCCATCACCTTCCGAACTAAAACTACGCAACTGGCTATTCTTCAAAATACTCAAACAATTTCCCGAGGCAATCGTACTACCACGGTTAGAAAATGAACCGAGAAGATACTTTCTTGTCAAATTTTCACTTCTTGTTAAATGATTTGTTAATGTATCTGTGAATACATAAGATCTGGAAACCGTATAGTCACGAATGGCTGGCCTAACTAAGTATTTGGCTTGCTGCAATGCCAAACCCCATCTCTGGTTCCTCTTTAATGCCCTCGTATACATCACAGAGTCCCTTCTCTCAGATTCCAATATTACTACAATAGAAAAAACAAAACATATATCATTGATTTTGCAGGGTCCATTTACACTGCACCATCTAACCTATATGCATTGAAACATGTAATTGCACCATTTATAAAAAAAACCAAACCCGAAGTAAAAACCAAAACATGCTAGAGTAACTCCGAAAGAAACACAGGAATAACACACTTCAAAATCACATAGAAAATTATGAAATGATTTTACCCCATAATGGCAAATCCTATGTAACAAAAACGCAATGAAAGATTTGGCATCAATAGAGTAATGATGGTATATTCAGCTATTATTCATTCAGCTATTATCGTTTGCCCATAAATATTACAAAACACGCACCTTTCTAACAGAGATGGACAAAATCAGTTCTATTCATTCCTCAAGCTATAAGGATAATAACCAAATCAGGCTTGAAGCAGAGAACGAGACGTAAGTAGGAACGAGATAGGGTGAAGGTTGTTAGAAAGAGATAGAGAACCCCGACAGAGGAGAGAGAGAGAGAGAGACCGATCTGAGTAGGTTCTTCTGTGGAGCTATGGGTTCGCGAGTTCACCTCTGTCGATGCAGTGATGTCGTTTTGACGCGCAAATACCTTCATATGGACTTTGGACAAAAAAAAAAAAAAACCTTTCTTATGGATGTGGGCCGAATTCCATAGGCCCATTAATCATATAAGAGTCGGTATTTGTTTCCTTAGTTTAGACAAAAAAGCCCTAAAGTTGTTGGATTTCACAATCTTACCCCTATTAAGCCGCGCTTATCTCGAACAACCTGTAGAGAGAGAAGAAGCTTTTGGGGAAAAATCGATCGAAAACCCTAGGAGAGAGAAAAAAATTCTACAAGGAGACTAATGGCGACAGCGAATCCTGGCCGTGGAGGTGGTAGAAGAGGCGGTGGACCAATGGATGACGACAAGTTGGTCTTCGAGACGACGGAAGGGATCGAGCCCATCACTAGTTTCAATGACATGGGCATTAAGGAAGATGTGCTTCGCGGTGTCTACGAGTTTGGCTTCGAGAAGCCTTCCGCGATTCAGCAGAGGGCGGTTATGCCGATTCTTCAAGGCCGAGATGTTATTGCCCAAGCTCAGTCTGGTACTGGGAAGACATCTATGATTGCTCTCTCCGTTTGCCAAGTCGTCGACACTTCTTCGAGAGAGTATGTTTGTCTGTTCCATTTTGCTGGGGAAACCCTCATATCAGTTTTGAACTTTACTTGCTTTGCTCGGATTCTTTTTTTTTTCTCAACCCCCTTACGCCCGGATTTACATTTCTAGTTTTTGTTTCTTATCAATTTTTCCAACTGGTTGGTGGGTTTTGTGCGTGTTGATAGTTGGATTCTCTCAATTTTGATTCGATTTGTTTTGTCTAGCTTGTAGAATAGATGAACTAGTTTTGATTCATCGATGTTACCAATGTATTTCTTTTTATGAGAAGTTGTGGTAGTTGCTGGATTCTCTATTTCGAGTGATTGGGATATTTTATACAGGTTTACTCATCAGTTTGGGTGTATCTCTGACTGCAGGGTTCAGGCCTTGATATTATCCCCAACAAGAGAGCTGGCTTCACAAACGGAGAAGACAATACAAGCTATTGGATTACACGCTAATATTCAGGCACATTCATGCATTGGTGGGAAGAGCATTGGAGAAGACATCAGGAAGCTGGAGCATGGTGTTCATGTTGTATCTGGGACACCTGGTCGTGTCTGTGACATGATAAAGAGGAGAAGTCTACGAACCAGAGCTATTAAACTTCTGATTCTTGATGAATCTGATGAAATGCTGAGCAGAGGGTTCAAGGACCAAATCTATGATGTTTACAGATATCTTCCACCCGATCTTCAGGTGCAATTTCACTGCCCAAATTTATTTGTTTATTCGTGTTTTTTTAGCTGTCATTGCATTGGATTGATAGGATTTTAGGGTGTTAAAAACCTTTTAGTCACTGTTAAGTTGCTTGTATGTTTCATGTGCAGTTTTGGTAGCTATTAACTGTATTAGGATCAGCCAAATTCCATGTAATGATAGTTCAATTCTAATACGTTTGTTTACAGGTTTGCTTGGTTTCTGCAACTCTACCTCACGAGATTTTGGAGATGACATCCAAGTTTATGACGGAGCCAGTGAAGATACTTGTGAAGCGTGATGAGCTGACTCTTGAAGTATGTTTCTGCTTTTCTATGCTCTTTGATAGTTTTCTTACAGTAGGGTCAAAGTCGTATTCTTCACTGGCTAACTTTTGTATAATCTTTTCAGGGAATCAAACAATTTTTTGTAGCTGTTGAGCAGGAGGATTGGAAGTTTGATACACTCTGTGATCTGTATGACACACTTACTATCACTCAAGCTGTTATCTTCTGCAATACAAAACGAAAGGTAATTCTGGTTCTCATCTTAAACTATGCAGCTGTACCTGAAATTTATTTTAAATGTTTTAATTGATCTAGTATCTGAATTTTGTTATCATTAATTAAGCTTCCAATACTGTTATCTTAACTTGATTTGCAACCTTGTAAATGCATTAAAATTTATACACTTGGGTGAATATGTAGGTTTTTATTCCTCAAAAAAATAACAATACAACTCCACTGCTCTAGAGTACTTGCAATCTGTACTCACCTGCATCTATCTAGTAGATTACTTGAGCCTCCTAATATATCGTGTGATACTGTAAACCAGTGCTGACGCTTTTTCTACTGCTTTGTAATTAGTGTTTAATTCTTGAATTATTGTTTCTTTTCAATAGTTCCCTCAACTCTATTTATGCATTTGTTATAGGTGGATTGGCTAAGTGAGAAAATGAGAACTAACAACTTCACAGTCTCATCAATGCACGGGGACATGCCTCAGAAGGAGAGAGATGAGATCATGAATCAGTTTCGGTCAGGTGACAGTCGTGTTTTGATCACTACAGATGTATGGGCACGTGGGATTGATGTGCAGCAAGTAAGTCATTACTTAATAACGATGCAGGAAATAAAATTCAGTCCCTCTCTGTTATGATATGGTTGAACTGACATTAAAATCTTTGTTTATCAGGTTTCTCTTGTCATCAATTATGATCTCCCCAACAACCGTGAGCTCTACATCCATCGTATTGGTCGATCTGGTCGATTCGGGCGTAAGGTAAGTTTCATTCTAATATCGGTGTTGTTTGTTTACTGTTGACATAGCGCACACACATCTAAGCTAAAGTATTCGTTTCCTGAGATACTAAATGGATATCTTTTTAACCAACTTGATTATAGGGTGTTGCAATCAACTTTGTTAAAAGCGATGATATCAAGATCCTCCGAGACATTGAGCAGTACTACAGTACCCAGATTGATGAGATGCCTTTGAATGTAGCTGATCTTATCTAAAAGACATTGTCTGAGACTTTTGTGCTTTCAGCGGGGGAGTGTCTGGGATTAGAAAGTATTGTTCAGAGCTTCTGTCAAATTATTGCGCTATTTTATGGTGTGAATCACTCAATACCTACCCCTTTGATGATGTTCTCTTTGAGTTTTTGTTGCCCTTTTGAACACATAAACTCACTTGTGGTAAATGTTTAATGGCTTGAGAAGCGATTTAGGTTTAGGGTTTGGATTGGACCGTATGGGTTTATCTTTTCCTCGTAATTGATTTTGGTTGTTTTGATTGCGAGTCAAATCTCTCAACTACCATTACCTGTAAGACTATCTTTGTCGACAGTTGAAATGGTTCATGTTTCTTTTAATATTTTGTAAAACTTTTATTTGCAAACGCCAGCTTTTGATGATGATTACAAGAACCAAGTAAACGAAACTATTAAATGCCAATAGCATCCTTAACAGAGTTTTTACCAAAAACCTAAAGCTTGGGGGAGAAGTAGCTTAGAGAAGATCTTCAAATCCACCACCATCTGCCTGATTATAATCATCATCGTCGTCATCACCATCATCATCATCATCAAAGTCTTGATTATGATTGTAATCTCCGTTATCATCTTCTTCTCCTTGTGATTCCTCCTCAACAACTTCCTCATCATCTTCTCCTTCTTCTTTCTGTTCCTTACCTTGAGCCTTAAGAAACTGAGCTTCAAGCTTTTCAAACACATCCAACTTGTGCAAATCTGCATCTTGACTCCACTTAGCTCTCTTGACAGGCCGTTCTCTTGGTGTATCTCCGAGAAGCTCTTTAGGGAAGTTATCAGGTCTAAGAAGAAGGAAATCATAGAACGATCCTTTCTTATTAGAAGAAGAAGACGTGCTCTTGGCCTTCACCGAGTCTGAATACCCCTCAATGTCAAAACTCTCATTCTCTATCTTAGGAACACCATCGCCTAGGTAATTAGGCGAGCTCCTCCAAAACCTATTGAAACTAAGGTAGCTCGAATCCAACTGCGAGTCTAGTGAGATAGATCTCGGATCAGGTAACGTAATTTCAGGGTAAATCACAAAAGCAGTCCCAACCCATCTTCTCTGCGACATCTTCGAGTGCCCAAATTCACCGTCTCCCTCGAATCTACGAGATGTGCTGATCAGAACTCAGACGCACGCGCTGCTGGAATTGAGAACATTTTATATACGATGTCAAATAGAATAGAAACTAGGTTTTGAACCGCGCTACAGCGCGGGGGAAATAATTACTTATATATAAATTTTAACGGATTTTTAAAAATAATTTATTTAACCTTTTACTAAAAAAATATATTTTAACGGATTAAAATATATTAAAGTTTAATTTTATTACAGTGCAATCGATTACAATAAATCATATATTTGTATAATAAGTTTAATTAGATTACCAAAAAAATATGTTTAAATAAAATAATAAAAGGAAAAAGCGAGTAAATAATAATATATTGAGTTTTGCTACAATTAAAAAAAAGGTGAAAATTTTATAGCACGAAATAATATTTATCGATAAATTATTCAATTTGACAATTTTTGTAGTAGAAGTAGGAATAGACGTAAAAATTACATAATACAATATATTTTTTGAAGGACCAACCCGTAACATAATTCATATAGTAAAAAACATTATTCACAACTCGCTTTACCATTATAATTGTGATTTTAACAAACTACCCGTGAACTATCTAAAATTTACGTAGTTTGATATACAATATTTTATCAATAAAACTTATGTCTCCAAATTTACATCTATGTATTGAAAACAATAGTTTTACTATTTTAAATCTAAATTTTTTATATATTTGAACCTTGTAATTATAATATTTTGAAACTTTTTAAAATTTTAAATATGCTCATCTAACAATGATTTTAATATTGGTCATACTTATAATGATTTTAAATCATTGTCCAAAATATTTAACCGAGTGTAATTGAGTATTATATGTCTGTTTTGAAAAATTCAAATTGCAACATATGCGAAAAAAAAGTTAAGAAAATTTTAAATATTTTTCAAATTTAGTATAATATTATAAATTAAAAATAAGATCAAATAAAAGTGAAAGAAGAATAATAATTGTTTTTAATATATTCTATTAAATTAGTTAGAGAAATATTAGGAAATCCTAAAATTAGTTATGGAAATAATATAATCCTAAAATGAGATATGGAAAGTATCCGATGTATGTATCCGAATCCATTTTAATATCCAATTTTGAAGTATCCAATTGTTAAAATTAGGTTAATTTTTTGATTTTGACCCGACCCGCATTCTATTTTGTACTTCTCTTTTACTAATATAGAGATTATATAAAAATATCAGAATTTCATAAAGGCAAAAACCATCAGCTGGTTTGATGGTATAAGGTTAATTAAGGATTAAATTAACACAGCCAAAGAACGGTTCACGCCGAACCAGCTACAACACCAATTTAACTAAACCAAGACGAATAACCGGAACCAGATGCATAAAGCGACGGTCGTTTTTGTTCGTAGTTGTCAGCGACACGGAAACTCTACTCTCTATCTTTCCCACTGTTGTCGCTGGTCAATCGTCGGAGATAAATCGGGTGATCGGCGATGGAGAACACGGACGCTTTCTTGGGGCTTCATGATTTTCTGGAGCGGATGCGCAAACCCTCCGCCGGAGATTTCGTCAAATCCATTAAAAGGTCCCCTTTCTTCCTTTCCCGATGCAGATCCGAATATATCTATGTGTCTGTGTTTCTATGTTCGATCTTACTCCTTAGCTTTAAGTAGATGTCCGTAATGTTTTGCTTTTCTAGGTCCATTTTTACTTGGTGATGATGCATGTGAGCTAGATTTTTGTACGAATAGCTATGTCTTGATGTTTTGTTATAAAGTTTAGGTGGATTTGCTAGAAACTTGAAGCATATTTTCTTGTCATTGCAATATCTCAACCTTAGATGATCCTATTCCACTGTAGTCCGTAGTCTTATCATTTTTGTTGTCTCTTCTTCATTTGCGGTTTCTGGGGTTAGTAGATAATTTTTGAAAGCTATACTGGAATAGTTTATTTGTCTAGCATAGAGATATAGTGGATAATGCGTGGTTGAGGATGATTTGTAATTTACATTAATTCTTCTCTTTTTTTCAACTTCATAACACATGTCGTCAATTTATGTTGCAGTTTCATTGTTTCATTCTCGAACAATGCACCAGATCCAGAAAAAGATTGTGCTATGGTTCAGGAGTTCTTTTCCAAGATGGAGGTTGCTTTCAGGGCTCATCCACTTTGGTCAGGTTGTTCTGAGGAGGAATTGGACAGTGCAGGAGATGTGAGTATCAGTATTTTTCTCTTTCTGTCTGTGGACTGTTTGGATCTTTTTGTCATAACCATTGCTCCTTTGTATACACAGGGCCTAGAAAAGTATGTCATGACAAAGCTATTTCCGCGGGTATTTGCTTCAAACACTGAGGATGTTATAGCTGATGAGAAACTCTTTCAGAAGATGTCACTGGTTCAACAATTCATTTCTCCTGAAAATTTGGATATACAACCAACTTTTCAAAATGAATCATCATGGCTGGTAAGACAATCTAGTCTAAAGCTAGATTGCATAGTGTTCCTTCTTTTTGATGATGTTCTTACTTGTAATCTTTCTTTTCCTTTCGGCAGCTAGCTCAAAAGGAGCTCCAGAAGATAAACATGTACAAAGCTCCTCGTGATAAGCTTGTGTGTATCCTTAATTGTTGCAAAGTGATAAATAACTTACTGCTAAATGCTTCAATTGCTTCAAATGGGAACGCACCAGGAGCTGACGAATTTCTTCCTGTATTGATATATGTTACCATAAAGGTATGGAGAAAAATATTTGAAAGATTGAACAATTTATGCATGCTGGTTTCTGATGTCTTTTTGTAGCGAATGTTTATGTTTGGATTGTGCAGCTATATTTACTAGTGCTCATTCTGTACTTTCTTTTCTCAGGCCAACCCTCCACAACTTCACTCAAACTTGTTGTACATACAAAGATATAGGCGTGAATCTAAACTTGTTGGTGAAGCTTCGTACTTCTTCACAAACATACTTTCTGCAGAGTCCTTCATCTCAAACATTAATGCCAAATCCATTTCAATGGATGAAGCTGAGTTTGAAACGAATATGGAATCTGCACGGGCACGAATTTCTGGTATGGGCAGCCAGTCTTATCAGAGTGGTCATGGTACTGCACCACCCCCTCGTGATGAGTCCACTCCTCAGAAAACTCAAATGCTGAATCCCAAGAGGGAAAACAATCTTTTCCAATCAAAATCGTCTGATAGTCTTTCTGGGGCCAATGAAATACTGAATCCAAACAGTGAAATACCAATGAAGAAAGCTGAATCCATTTCAGATTTGGAAAATAAGGGTGCGACACTTCTGAAGGATACTGAGGCAAGCAAAATCTTTCAAGAATATCCTTACATATTTGCCAGTGCTGGTGATCTGAGGATAGGCGATGTTGAAGGCTTGTTAGATCATTATAAACAGCTTGTTTTAAAATATGTGTGCCTTACCAAAGGATTGGGTGATGCCACATCCTTAGCTCCATCCAATTCACCCTTGCAAGCGTTGTCTGGTTATGATATTTCTAATGAATCTGAGAATCATACAACATCGTCTTCAAATGTTCAAATGAAAAGGGAAACTGACAGCAGTGTTGATGATTTGATCCGAGCTCTACAGGGTGAAGGGGAAAATGTTGATAAGCTGTCAGATGTAAAACAAGAAGAATATGGCGGAATGTTGGTACAAGCAAAGGATGATGAACGTGATCCCAAGGTGCAAGGAGAGGCAGATGCCAAACATATTAATTCTGAGAGAGAAGGTGACAATTCTAGTTCCCTGCCTGGAGAAAACGAAGATGTTGGTTCTAAACATCCAGTTGCAGAAGCTTCAGAGTGAGCAGAATGACCCGCCATGGTGATGAGAGTCTTCTCTTGTATTGGATCAGTTACATGTTGAGGGAAGAATTCATTTATGGGGGAAGCAGAGCTCAGATCATAGGTAAAATGCCACCCATTCGTTTCTTGCAGCTACGAGTCTTGAGGACAACTAGAGAGCTGTATGAGATGAAGGCTATGTGTATCTGCATTCTTCTGGAAAACGGGAACAGACGAATGGTAACTTTAGTCTCACTAGTTGTGTTTTGTTTTTGCAGCCCACTCTTTGTTTCTTTATTATTTGATTTTGGAAGGGCTCCTCAACATTTGTCAATCCATATGTAACTCTTACACTTGTTGCTGCGTATATACGATATGGATGTAATCAGAATAGCATTTGCCAAGTGTTGGATACGAAGTAAAGTAGGAAATGGTTAAGTAAATTTTCTGTGCATAGGATGACCAAGGTCGAGTCCAAAACATAATATAAGTGGATGTTGGTGCGCATTGTACCTTTCAAGAATAACAACTGTGGGAGGTCTCCTAGCACAATCCAAATCCAAATTGAAATCACATATTGAACAGCAATAACCAACACTGAACTTAGCTGGACATAAACTACAAGTAATTAGTTTCAAACTTGGGGTCATCAGCTTGAGAGGATGGTCGGGATGAGAGGAGTGGATGATTTCTGGTAAAGACTCGGCACAGTCTTTATGAAACACGGATTCACACCCCAAGTCATTGCATCGGTAGCCTCCGTAAATGTAATCATCTCTCGAGCCGCAACCTCTACACAGTTTTAAAGCAAAGCCAGTAAAACGTATCAAAGGATGCTCGTGAACTGGTAACTCTACTTTCTCCATGCTGATTTTTGAACTTCCAAAAAATCCAAATCCCACTATTGAGCTCTCTTGTGTGGAGGTTTCTGATCGAGTAGCGTGTGTTTCTATGATTTCTTTTGGATTAATTCTTCCAGTGGTCACTATAGAATATGAATTCTATCTATAACAATAAACATTGTATATTAAAAATAATAATACATAGAATAATATGTAAATTAACGCCACACCACGTGAAATTATTATTATTATTTTTTGTCAAGGAGAAGAGTAATTTTGAGTATCAACGTGGCAGGAGCAAGAAAAAAGAATAATTCTCCTGAACCAAACCAATAATTTGATCAGTTAAACCGAACCAATCAGAACAGACTCGGGATCGGAACACCGACGTTCAGAAACAAGG